GTATAAGCTGGCATTAGCATTGGAGAGGCTAGCGACTAGCATGTATAAGCTGGCGTTAGCATTGGAGAGGCTAGCGACTAGCATGTATAAGCTGGCATTAGCATTGGAGAGGCTAGCGACTAGCATGTATAAGCTGGCGTTAGCATTGGAGAGGCTAGCGACTAGCATGTATAAGCTGGCATTAGCATTGGAGAGGCTAATGACTAGCATGTATAAGTTGGTGTTAGCTTTGGAGAGGCTAGCGACTAGCATGTATAAGCTGGCGTTAGCATTAGAGAGGCTAGCGACTAGCATGTATAAGCTGGCGTTAGCATTGGAGAGGCTAGCGACTAGCATGTATAAGCTGTGTTAGCATTGGAGAGGCTAGCGACTAGCATGTATAAGCTGGCGTTAGCATTAGAGAGGCTAGCGACTAGCATGTATAAGCTGGCGTTAGCATTGGAGAGGCTAGCGACTATTATGTGTAAGCTGTCATTAGCATTGGAGAGGCTAGCGACTAGCATGTATAAGCTGTGTTAGCTTTGGAGAGGCTAGCGACTAGCATGTATAAGCTGGAATTAGCATTAGAGAAGCTAGCGACTAGCATGTATAAGCTGGCGTTAGCATTGGAGAGGCTAGCAATTAGCATGTATAAGCTGGCATTAGCATTGGGGAGACTAGCGACTAGCATGTATAAGCTGGCATTAGCATTGGAGAGGCTAGCGACTAGCATGTGTAAGCTGTCATTAGCATTGGAGAGGCTGGCCAGCTGCTCAGTTACAGCACCGGCCTATCATTGTTCAAATCAATAGCTGTCTTAGGAATCGATATAGCCTTGTGCTRCAAGGACAACTGCTGGTTGCATATTAGTCTTAATTTTTGCCCTCATACCGTGCCATAAAAATCTACACTCAAGCCTGGTGCAGTTTGGTACTTTGGCATGGAAAATGTGAAGGAATTAAACATTATTAATGGCATTAATCACAATGAGGTGAGTGTAAAAGSAAGTTGTTTCTGTTTGTTATTATTCTCTGTGAGATTCCTCCTGTTAGGAAGTGTTTGTGAATTCTTGCAGAACGTTTCAACGTGTACCTCATGCCCACCCCTAACCTGGACATCTACGGAGAGTGCACCATGCAGATCACCCATGAGAACATCTACCTGTGGGACATTCATAACGCCCGCCTCAAGCTGGTCATGTGGCCTCTCAGCTCCCTGCGCCGATACGGCCGAGACTCCACCTGGTTCACGTTTGAATCTGGCAGGTGTGTGTGTGTGCTGATGCTTGTGTTATCTCACGGGTATTTGTGTGACTAATACGCCGAAACTTAGTTTGTGAAAATGCAGCGACAAAGAAACTTTTAATATCCAAAACATCCCGGGATATATGCTGCTGAGCCCTTCAGGCGATGTTGTGACAGCCGCTTCTGCGGATGCATCTTCATTTCTGTGTTTGTGACTTCAGGGGGGCGGGCTGCTTTCATCCACAGCCCTCCCCGAAAAACTAAAAACACACACACATACAAAAAAAAAAAACCATTCAGCCGCACATATTTGTAAACCAGCAATCCGAGAGAGAGCTGGATCAAAGTGTGTCTCTGTGTGTGTGTTCCTGGCGCAGGATGTGTGACACAGGAGAGGGTTTGTTTACGTTCCAGACGCGAGAGGGGGAGATGATCTACCAGCGGGTCCACTCGGCCACGCTGGCCATCGCCCAGCAGCACGAGAGGATGATGGAGGAGATGGAGAAGAGTTCCCAGGTACATCTGTGTGTCTTTTTGCACCTCATAGTGTGACCACACTCTTTAAGACCCAGCGTGCATCGCTGCTCGCACATTAGCAGAATGCCGCTGAAAGAAAAACTTGTATTTTCGTCTTTTCAAAGCCTTGCTTCTCAGTCGTCTCGTGTTCGCTTCCTCAATCGGTTTAGTTGGATCAAAGTATTTCATTGAGAATATTTTTAGAAACATCTGAACTAATAAGTCATGCTTTTCAAACACACCCACACAGCAAGCTGTAGATTTCTCCTCGGGTTCTGTTGCATCGTCTTTCTCTGTGTTGGACCTGATGACATCCCGCCGTCTTATCCCCCCACTTTCCACTATCATTGTCTTTTACTAATTTCTGTTATTACAGTATGTCACAAATGTTGTGGGGTGGGGGGGAGTCAGCACTTCTTCCCCACCACTTCAAGCACTGATCTAGTCCCAAAACAACATCCCATCACCATCAACTCAAACACTTCCTTGACCTAACTAGGGGTGTAAGAAAATATCGATAAGTGAAATATCGCGATATTTCATTTCCCGATACTGTATCGATATTCTAAAGCCCTGTATCGATTTTTTATTAAGGTTTAAAATGTCAACTTTCCTGCCAGCCGTTCATTTTTATGTTGTAGTTCAGCCTCTGACCACTAGCTGGCAGCAGTGAGCCAGACATTTGGCTACTCCACAGCTTGAACGTCAGAGAGTAAGGGAGCATTAGCA